TTTTTTTAGTTTATATTCAAGGTCCTCTGCAGTTTTAACACAACTTTTTCAGTTTTATCTCACAAAACTCTTTTCTCCCCCTCAGTGCCACAGTCCATCTGGCCTACCTGCTGTCCCCTAATGTTCACTGGGCCTTCCCATCTCCATGACAATCTCTTGACCCCTTACTCTTCCTTGAAATGAGGCCCAATTGAAATACCTCTTCTCTGCCTACAACGTTGCTTGAATCTACAAATATTTACAGAATGTTTTCTATGTGTAGAATGTGCTAGAAGCAGTGGAAGATAAAAAGATGATGAGGCCCTTAAGGAGCTTATAAAAGCAGGAAATAGACAAGCTCACAAATGATACTATCCCAGAAGGACACAGTCTAATCAAGATCTTTCAACTGTTTTTTTCCTGCCATACTTTAAAAAAGAAAACAAGTTATACTTCTCATCTCTTGCGTAAATTCTGCCCTTTATACAACTCTACTATTTATTCTAAAGTAGTCCATTCAGGATACCAATCAAAAGTAGGCTAACATTAATAAAGCTGGAAAATGCCTGTGCTTTTTGCTTAGCCTCTTAGGAAGGACACAGACAAGTACCTAAGAAATATAGTAAATTATAGTTCACAGATTTCTTCCATTAAAAGCTGAGAAAGGTTGCCTGGTTCTTTTTCTTTTCCCTAAAATATACTTAGGGTACCAACCATAACGTTAGCTTCCTTATTAAAAAACAACCTCAGCCCTCACCACTGCTCTCTAAAAACCATATTCTTTCTTTATTAAGCATACAGCTTCTCAGCCTCAGAAAAGCTCCAATAGAATATTTATCACACATTTTACAAGATAAGGCTGATTTGCTCTCCCACATATCCTCTAGAGCTTAAGAATGTAATGTTACCACCAAATTTTAAATAGGAAAGAAATTTTAAAGTCAATCATTCTAATTTCTATCACAATTCAGGCCATATTTAGAAAAAATATTGTGTTCATGGACCAATGATGTTAAACTACTACAAACTAAGGGGTATGATCCACTCAACTTTCTACACCCAAGCTCCTCTCCACCTGAAAAAAACAAAAAAAAACCCAAGCCAAAACAACAACAAACCCCCCCAAAACCCGTGCCTAGAACGCCAAATTCTTTTAAGTTTTATATTTCCCCAGAACTTGGTGCCATGACTCATCATTCACTTGATCAAATTAATGCCACTCAAGAACACTTTAGAAACTGTTGTCACATTCAGAAAAAAGAGATTATTACATATTTGTCTTCTCTAGCCAGAAACTGACTTATATCAAGTATTCATGAAAAATTCTAATGAAAAGTGGAAATCAGAAAACAAAAGAGAAAGAAAACAGTTTTAAATCTAGAGAGAAAGATGTGAAAAAGAGGAAGTGAAAAATGCGGCTGCACACAGGTGAAGTGACTGCTCTCTTTTCCTGGCATATATACAAGCACCTGCAGGATGTGATGATTTTAAAGGCTTCACGCTGTGGTGTTCATGACTCCAAAATAAAACACTGCATAAAAAAAAAAACCTAACACTTTGTTTTCCAAAAATAATTTAGGATGCTGAAGATAAAAAGCAAAATTTATCTCCAAATGTGTATGAACCTCGGGTTGGCTAGCAAAACAAAGTCAGACTAGGTCATTACAGAAGTGGGATGAAAACTTCCCAGAATCAAATATTTCCTCAAATGATGAACTTGTCGGGTTGCAAGTGTTCATCTCTTTTAATGTTCTCGATATGAGAGCTACTGGCGATTAGTAGCTGGAACTGACAGAGAGCAAATTTGTTTAAGGGCTAAGTAAAAGTCTGGAAGCTTTGTTTTGATAACTGCGTACGTGCTGTTTAACAGTGAATTGTTTTTTAGTAAGAAGACAGGTGTTAAAACTACCTCTACAAGAGCTCTATATACTAATTCAAAGGTCTTCAGATTTTCCTGCTGTTTCTGGTGTGTTAAGGAAAAAATAAAAAGGACACAACACTGAAAAAATGAGTACACACACACACACACACACACACACACACACACACACACCCCTTGGAAACACTTGTGCAGCTCTGTGAACAGATTTTTCAGAGCCCCTGGTCAAGCCCTGGGAAAAGGAAGTCTCTGGTCGCTTCAGATCCAGCCGGGCTAGAAGCGAGTTCCTCCTTTATCCACCCAGCCGGGTGGCAGCCGCACTGATGGGACACTCACCTCCTCCCCCTCTCCTCCCCGCTCAGCACCAGCAGCCAGTGCCCCCGAGCCTGCAGGACAAGAGTCGGGCGCTCGGGCTCCATCCATCCCTTCGGCCTACGTTCCCGGAGGACGACCCCTCCTCCCGTAGCCCAGTTCCGAGGGAAAAGGGGTCGGCGTGGGCGAAAACCGCCATAACCACCGACCACCCGTCGCCGGTGCCGGGTCTGCTCTGCGTCTGCGAGGCACGCCCAGCCCCGGTCTTCACACTCACCTGCCGCCCCCGGCAGCCCCCGCGCCAGCTCCCGCGGCCCCGCCGCCGCCAGCTCCCGTTCCCGGCCGCAGCGCCATCTTGCTCCGGGCCCGCCGCCGCCGCCGCCGCCACCGCCACCGCTGCCACCTTCCCAGCAGCTGTCAGCTCCCGACAGCCACTTCCGGGGCAGAAGCAGGACCCCACCTCGCCGCGGCCTGGGCGACGGGGCGGGGCCGCGCGCCCACGTGACCCTTCGCGTCCGGGGGAGGAGTTGCGCTTCCTCGTCACGTGACCCGGCCACAGCTGAGGGCCCGCCAGGTGCAATTCTAGTTCAGGGGCTGGTGGGATGGTCTGGTGCCGGCTCCAGGTTCATTCTCAGGAAAGGCTCTGTGGAGAACCCAGCTGGCCGCCGAGCGGCGAGGCGTCACCGTTCCTCCGTTTGAAAACCATCGTCTTGCTTAGTGGAAACAGTACACTGAGTCCTGTTTTTTTACCTGGATGGGGGGTACACGGGTGTTCTTTTATTGTTACTCTTTACACAAAGAATAGATGGATCTTGAATGCCCCGTTGATAGCATCACAGCGCCGATTAGTGATGAGCTCTACTTTTTCCCAGGAACTCGGCAGCTTCCTTTTGGTACCCACTCTAAAAGCCGAAGGTGTTTAGCCAGCTGGTAATCCCCGTTTTCCCTATACTTACAATCAGGGCCAAAACGGTGGTGCTTGGAAGAGTTCATTGCTCCGACCCTATCTGGGCATATTTTACTGTGATTTTTTTTTTCCTAACCAAACTACTGTAGGTAAATATAAAAGTTGAATGTAAACTTTTTCAAGCCCTCAAGTGGAGTTTGCTTACTAGCAAGTAACGGATTATAATTAGCTTTATCTTTTACTCTTGCCTCAGGGCTTTTACTGGGAAACAATTTGTAATAATTGTTATCGTTTATTGGGCACAATCACTGGTCAGGAACTTTACTGTATTTTTTCAAATCCTCAGTGTCCCTAAGAGCTAGTATTGGCATTTCACAGATAAGAAAATCAAGGTTAGGAGGAGGAGTAATTTACCCACATCAAACAGCTGCAAAACAGCAGGACCAGGATCAAAATCCAAGGAGTTTGACTTCATTTCAGCTAGAGCCAGCTATTTAATTATGCTTTTTTCCCCCATAATTGTCCACTAACTTCATTCCTCCCCTTCTTTAGATGGAACTGTGTAGCAGATGTTCCAATCGACATAAACTGATATATAACTAAATTCAGTATTAATCCATCGACAAATCAAGATGGTACAGGCTTATGTAGCCACTTTTAAGGATGGGTGATCGCACAGGAGAAAATACTAAAAAAAAAAAAAAAAGAGGAAATAAAGTCAAACGAAGGGAGTATTTCAAAGATCATAGACCACATGACTCAGGATGTCAGCGTTCCACGGTATTTCCAGTCCAGGTTAGATGCTGTCCTGTGATGACTCAGCATTGTGGCCTTATGTCTAACACGGCATCTACCACACTATTTGTTCCTTTACTTTATGCCCACTATACTGTAAGGGCAGGGACTGTGTTACCAAGACTTGTATTCCTAACCAAATATATAATGTTTGTTAAGGAATATATTTTGTGAAGTTATGACGTGTCAGGCACAGTGCTGGGTACTTATAATCTTGAGACATAGTCGGTATTACCCTCAATTTCACAAACAAACTGAACCTCTGAGAAATTAAGAACTTAAAACAACTGGCAAGTGGGTGGCACCAGTACACCTACTTCCAGAATATATTTTGAGTCAAGGCTCTGTTTGCAAGAACAAAAAAATCACAGGCTTCTAAGTATTTCTTGCACCTTGTAGCAATAGGTCTCCATTTACATAAATTCTGAAGATGAACAATTTTTGTCTCATCTAAAATATTTAAGTTGAAGTCTACCCATCCTGACTCTAGAATAAAAGACTGAGGATACAGGAAATAAATAAGTGTAATTCAAATGTTACTGAGAAAAGGTTATCTATATTATAGTATTACAGTACTGATAACTAACATTCATGTCAGGCACCATTGCAAGTACCTTACATGTATGAAGTCGATTTTTCATTCCACTGTACAAAACTAGCAACTGAGGAAAATCTACTAAGAGTGAATAGTCTCTATCACTGTACAATCATAATCCTTTACCTTCGGCAGAGACCTGCATACTATCTGGATGAAGGGCCATAAAGCCTTAGGAAAGATAAGCTGTAAGAGAAGGGAGACAGAGGTGGATCAAGTAACAGGAACATTCTTCCTTATCAGGATAAAATGTTTATCACTTTTCGAGCAAAGTCATCTCAAATGGAAAGAGACAGGAAAGAACATGGTTAAATGATGGAAAATGAAGTAAGAAAGGGAGAAGCTGACCATAATCTTATAGCTGCAACATTATGAAGGTAAGGTCTGAGCTACGATAGGGATGAGGTAAAAGATATTTATATATAGATCAAAGAATTTAAAATTCTAGTGAACTTGAATAACCAGCCATATAAAAGGCATCTTGTTGTGGCTCATATCACAAAAGGCCATCAACAAATTAAGAAACAGTGAAATAAAGAGAGCAGTAGGTTTATTCTTGGTAGACAGCCCGTGCTGCTTCTTGTCCATCCAAAAAAAAAAAAAAAAAAAAAAGTGGGTGGGAAGGGGCATTCAACCTCAAGACTTTACTTCGCAATGTGGTTCCAAACGCCTCTCCACAGCATACACGACACGCTCTTCCACACTTGAAGGGAAAAATCCAGTTCACCACATTTGGGTGTTGTTATTTTTAGCATAAACTTTTGTTCTTCTGTAAGAAGCATCGCTCTGGATTCAAACCACATGAATGTCAATGAATGTTTTTTCCATTATATAATCATTTAAAAAATCACCTATGAATTGAAACTTGACATGATGCACTGATAGTTTAGGATCATTTTTCACTAGTCCCATGTTCTTGTAGTTGATTTCAAATGTTTGGTACAGGTGATTATAAGACAATGTATTCCATGAAAACAACATTCATGCTGGAATCATAAAATCACATTTGTGATATAGTCTTTTTAGAAGTCTGTTTTTAACTTTTGTCCTCAGGAGTTACTTTCTTCTTGCTGTTCTGACCAGTGACCTTTTTCCTGTGACAATGAAAGGAAAGTTGAATTAGAAATTTTTTTTGTTGTTGTTTTTTTTTTTTGGCTGTATGCGGGCCTCTCACTGTTGTGGCCTCTCCCGTTGCGGAGCACAGGCTCCAGACGCGCAGGCTCAGCGGCCATGGCTCACAGGCCCAGCCGCTCCGCGGCATGTGGGATCCTCCCGGACCGGGGCACGAACCCGCGTCCCCTGCATCGGCAGGCGGACTCCCAACAACTGCGCCACCAGGGAAGCCCTAGAAATTTTAGATATATGTACTTTCCAAAACTCTACCAGTTTAATAAACATTTACTGAAACCTCCTGTATAATCAAGTATACAAGGCACTAGGAACACAAAGATGTGTCTTTGCCCTTTAGAAAACCACATCCAGGTAAGTGAGACAGAAACACCACAGTAAACTACACTACAACATGGTATAAAAGACAGATTCTGATCCTGAATTAATAAGAAGAGTTCACATTGATTAAATGCCAGATACTGTTTATAAGTCGTTTATATGTATCAACTCAGATAGTCTTCCTAACTTACGAAGAAGATTCTATTATTATCCTCATTTTACAGATGTGGAAAATGAGGTAGAGTGGTTAAGTAACTTGCTGATCATCACACACTGGTAATAAATATTAGACATGACACTGGTAAAAATTTTAGACATGACAGTCTGATTTTAGACTTTGGTGAATGGTGAATGCCATCAACTAACTGTTAACACAGGAAAAGGAAAAAACGTTTTGAGAAAATAATCAATATTCACATACTACAGTACAGTAATGCAAAGTTCTTAGATGTATATCAGTTCATTTAATCCTCCACCAACTCTGAGTGGCAGAGTTGGTATTATTTATATAACCATTTCCATTATATATAGGGGGAAAGAGGCTTAGAGAGGTGAAGTGACTTGTGCAAAGTCACACAGGAAAAGGTGTTATTAGAGCCAGTTATTCTGGCTCCAAATCCAATCTCCCCTACGCCCTACTATACCAGTTTGAGTTTGCAGCGCCTGAAGTGACACCCATTAGGCAACAGGCTTCAGGTTTATAGCTCAGTTGGGAAGCTGGGCTTGAAGATATGGACTTAAGATTTATCAGCATAGAGCTGAGGCCACAGGTGTGGGTAGGATCATTAAAGCAACATCTACAGTGGAAAGGTAAGCTAGATCAGATCTTGTTTGTATGCTATGTTAAGAAGTATGGCCTTTAAATGTAAAGAAAATAGAGACAGAACCAAAGCATCTTAAGCAGGGGGCTAGTGACAAGGTTTGTAACAAGTGTCCTCAAAGTCTTAGCGCAGCTTTAAGTTTTAATAACCTCAGATCATTAAAAGCTACAAACTTACAAAAATCAGCAATTAAACTGTCATTATTTAAAATATTGATTTTATTTTTACAGTTCAACACAGCCATGATCTTATGCTCTAGACAATTTTCGACCTTTGTAAAAACTTTCATCAGCTGCGGCTCAGTGCCTGAAAGGACTGCATTTCCAATCCTAGCTTTGAGATCACCCAAAGAATGAGGTTCTGATGTGTATGCAACAATTCTGCAGCAGCCCACCACAAGAAAAAGTCTTATGAGACAGATAAGGTGACCAAGCAGGGCAACCTTCTCTACCAATCCACTGGTCTGTCACCCAGGAACTGTTGCCACAAAGAATAAAAATAAAAATGTATTAAGAACGCACAAAACTGAATAAGTACCAGTTAAATTAAAATAATCTTTCAAATGATGTAGTTTTATAAGGTTGTAACATTTATTCTTCCCAAGTTATTAAAGCTTAAAACCACCGAACCCTTTGGGACACTCTGTACAGTCTATGTACTGGGGCTGAACATTATTTCCCACAACCAATACAAAATGCCAGGCAGACTCTTTCACTCAGAAGGAAAGTGCAGGTTTTCTCGCCTGGGTTCACCTTGTTCCTTCTACATGCCTAAATTTTACCCATCCTTGAACATAATTCTACTTCCTTGAAACTTTCTGTAACTACACCAATCCATAATGATTTTTTTCCCTTCTCTAAACTTCTGTTTTATTTAAAAATTATTATCTAACTTTTCTCATGTATATTAATCTCCTTTCCCTAACTTCAGGAAAGGGGTCGTCTCATTTTACATCCATTCATACACCTCACTACATATGATATATGTAGTAAGACTGAAGGTGAACAGTAGAACTTGGTAAAGGCCTACATTTTATATATGTTATATATTAATTGGTACTGATAGAATTTGAAGAGTGTCATTTTTCCTTAAACAGTGGAAAGAATAGTACTGTGAAATCCCCTATGAAATCATGTCGTTTCCTGGCAGTAACAGGCAAAAAAGGTAGTCCTGTGTGTATGCTAAAAAAAAAAAAAACCTATACTTTAAAATCCTCAAAACTTCAGCTAAATGACTACAAATTTACTCAAGTCATACTGTTCAGAGGTGTTACAATGTGCTTCAGCATAAGCCCAAGATCCTACTGAAATCCTGCCCAGAATATGGAGCTTGAAGGAAGACTCCATCAATGTGAGTCAGCAGTCCTAACTACTGGCCTCAGTAGTGTGCCCAGATACAGGCTGTGTGGAGATGGTGGACAGTGCAATTCTAATTCATAGTGAATTGAAATCATATTTTCAAAGATGGAGAAATACAGATCATTAATATACAGATAAAGAAAAATTCCAAGATTGAATTATCCAAGTTTCCAAATCACAGGCAACCTAAGATATATTACTTTTATTACCTTCTATAATGGACTGTAGACCTATCAAATTCTACTTCTAAAAATCTATCCTAAGGAAAAATAATGCTTACGTTATAAGAATATGCCAGAATCAAACAGTAACTTTTACCATATACTTACCGTTTATCCTTAGCTTTTTCTAAGAAATATTTTGGAGTTGTACTAATGCTCTCCCTTTCCAAAGGCTTCTTAATCATCTTTTTCTTTTGTTTACTGAAAGTTACAAAGAAAGAACTGAATTAAGTGCAACTTAATTTAAAAGAGCTAAAACTAGTTTTGGTTCTTTGGTTCACAAAATTCGTTTCCTTCATCCACTTACAGATTTACAGTGACACCACTGTATCCACTTTAATATACTAGGTTACCTAACAGCATCTAGAGAGGTAACCCAAAGGGATGATAAATTCAACCAATTTTTTAAAAGGCACTGATTATGATTAAAATATGTCGTGTGTCACTCGTATATCTTGTGCTAACAAACACTAGAGTTTCATTTTGGCCAATTAACTGCTTTTTATCAGTTTTATGAATTAGAACAAAATCTCAGCATATTTCACTCATGTTGAATAATACTTTAAAAATCTGAATACTTAAAATTTCAAGGATGAAAAACTGGCAGGGAAAGAACAGACAGTATTCACAAATATTTAAAAGGAAAAATTTTAATCTTAAAATGTTCTAAAAATAGTAGTATTATTAGAACTATAATGTATAAGAGTGTGAAATCAAGAATATATATGTAAAGAGAGAGAGAGAGAGAGAGAGAAGCTCCAGGTAAATTCAAGATTGTACCTTAGTAGTTTCTGGAAACCTTTTATGTATTCTGGGACAGGACATCCGGCCTGCTGGATAACATTGGCAACACTGAAAAAGGTACCCATAAACGTAAATTTGTATCTTGTCAAACTGATGTTTATGTACATAAACCCTCTGCACAATACAAGAGGAATTAAAACTACACAAACAAAAAAGTAATCCAGTAAAGTGTTCTGATAAATTATTACCAATTATTACCAGATACAGTCATATTGGATTACTGAGAGAATGGTCTGCTGGACTGAAATCAATGTCTTGATGAAAATTTTAGATAGCATCTGTTTCTACTCAATATTTAACAAGCCCTAAAAAGCTACTAAGCCCAGTATTGGATGAGACACTGACTGAAGTCAGAGTCATACTTAAATTTATTAAATGATAAAGCTTGACATGGTCTCAAGCTTCTCATGTATACAGTAAGTCCCCTACAAATGAACCTTCAAGTTTTGAACTTTCAAAGATGTAAACATGCATTCGCATGCCCAATCAGGTAAATTAGTTCACATGTCTGGCGTACACTGTCATATGCATACATCCTCTACAAGTGGTTGTGCTTTTGTGTACTTTACTGTACAGTACTGTATAGAGTACAGTAGCACAGTATCTTTGTTTCAAGCCCAGGGTGTCCGGAAGCAAGCATAAAAGCAGTGGTGACGTAGCTGGTACTGCTAAGAAGCACCAGCTGTTGTACTGTACTACTGTACTTTTCAAGGTACTGTACTGTAAGATTAAAAATGTTTTATTTTGGGGTTTATTATGTATTATTTGTGTGAAAACTATTATAAACCTATTACAGTACGTACTATATAGCCGGTTGTGTTAGCTGGGTACCTAGGCTAACTTTGTTGGACTTATGAACAAACTGGACTTAACGAACACACTCTCGGAACGGAACTTGTTTGTATGTAGGGGACTTACTGTAGTAACTTATTCAATCCTTACAACCCTTTGTAGTAAATACTATCATTATCCCCATTTCCCAGATGGAAAACTGAGGTACACAGTTGCACTGATATGGGGGTCATCAGATGCACGTGCTTGGAGTTGCTGAGAACTCAGGTGAACTAGGCTATTGGAATGTACTCCCCTACACACCACATGTGAAAATCTGATCACAGCAAAATCAAGGCTGACAGAGCCAAGGCTCAGAAGGCACGAAGCAAAATCTTCGCCAAAACTGATAAACAGAATAAAGTACAAACTGCCTACATCCACAACTCAACTTCATTTGTTAGAAATATGAACTGTTGCCAATTATCATCAGACTAAAATTTCTGTAGGCAGCCCAAATGTAGGAAACTCAGCTTCTATATTAAAATCTATGACGATGGGCTAAATTAAGATAAGATTCTAGAAGTGTATCTATCATAGGTTACCCAGGCTTCAAGGGGCTACAACTGAATATTAGAGTGTGTTACTAAAACAGTTTTTCCTCTATGACAGGTGATCCTGGGACTAAACATAAAACTCCAGCTGCCCCTAAGAGTAATGGGAAGAATACACCCATGCTAAGAGATCATTTTGACGGGGCTATAAGAGACTCAGGGGTTAACTTTAAACAATTAATCCAAAAGCTTAATATTACATTTTGAGTAATATCAAGTGAAGGCTATTGGGAGAATTCTGTGAGTCTGAAACTTTTTTTTTTTTAATTAATTAATTTTTGCCTGCATTGGGTCTTTGTTACTATGCGCGGGCTCTTTTTAGTTGCAACGAGTGCGGGCTACTCTTCGTTGTGCACAGGCCTCTCATTAAGGTGGCTTCTCTTGTGGAGTACAAGCTCTAGGTGCACAGGCTTCAGTAGTTCTGGCACATGGGCTCAGTAGTTGTGGCTCGCAGGCTCTAGAGCGCAGGCTCAGTAGTTGTGGTCCACGGGCTTAGTTGCTCCGTGGCATCTTCCTGGACCAGGGCTCGACCCCGTGTCCCCTGCATTGGTGGATGGATTCTTAACCACTGTGCCACCAAGAAAGCCCGTGGGTCTGAAACTTAATGAATATTCCATTGTGAATATTTCCAAAATCTAACAATGGAAGGGCAAAAACGAGGCCCTTTGATCATTTTTCTTTTTTTCATGGCTAAGGTTTGTTTGACTAATACCATAACAGAATTTGGGACACAGCCATTTTGTAATTATCCGTTAACTGTGTATGAGAATAATGAATCAATTTTGCCAACTTAATGCTAAATTTTTTCTCCTAATTTACCTTCTTAATAATGGTTTATCATCTTCAGTGAAAAATGTAACAGCTTTTCCTTTATGCCCGGCTCTTCCAGTTCGACCTAAGAGAAACCAGACCATTAAAAAAAACCTACTTTTGGGAGGAATGGGACCTTCAAGAATCACATATACAAGTCACTGGATTTTCACAGCACTAAAAACTTGAGCGTGCTGAAGGGACTGGCAGGGGTGCTAAGAGAGGCGAGTAGAGGGGTGGGGCACACGACTCACCTATCCTGTGGATATATTCCACTGAGCTGGTTGGAAAGTCATAGTTGATGACCAAGTTCACACCTTTAAAATCGATCCCTCTGGCTAGCAAGGCTGTACAAATAAGAACCCAGATTTTTCCTGCTCTGAAGCTATGGACTGTGTTATCTCTCTGGTTAACAGAACATATATTAAATGTTTTAGTACCACTCTAGGAATGGAAAACAAGTACTTCATAAATTTAATGCCAATTAAAAAAAATTTAGTTGTTCTTTATTGCTTTGAAAGTATGCATTTGACTTTACCTGTTGCTGAGTTCTGTCTGCATGAATAACATCCACATTAATACCTTCATATATGAGCTCATGAAAAAGTTCTTTAGCCCTTTCAATGGACTGAACAAAAACAAGAACAGGTGGATTGAAACCCTAAAAGAAAGCATACATAATCCATAATCAAGAATGTAACTGCAGTATTTCATATGATTTTAGTTCATTTTAATTTAGAAATTGACAAATTTCTTAGACCAGAGGTCCAAGCCTGCCTGTCTTCCTCACCATCCATTCTCTACAATGTGGTTCTTTCTCTTGTTGTGGAGTACAGGCTCTCCATCTAATTCCAATAATCTTGTCTAATTAATTCCCCTTCATCTTTCTACAGCAATGGATGCCCACTCTTTGAAATAATCATCTGATTGCTTCTGTGCTTCAGAACATTTTTGTTTCTTCTTAAAATGTAATAGCTGTCGTTTTTAAAAAAATAAATTTATTTATTTCATTTATTTTTGGCTGCGTTGGGTCTTCATTGTTGCGTGTGGGTTTTCTCTAGTTGCGGTGAGCAAGGGCTACTCTTCATTGTGGTGTGTGGTCTTCTCATTGTGGTGGCTTCTCCTGTTGCAGAGCACGGGCTACAGGTGCATGGGCTTCAGCAGTTGTGGCTCGCGGGCTCTAGAGCGCAGGCTCGGTAGTTGTGGTGCACAGGCTTAGTTGCTCCGCGGCATGTGGGATCTTCCTGGACCAGGGCTCGAACCCGTGTCCCCTGCACTGGCAGGCGGATTCTCAACCACTGTACCACCAGGGAAGCCCCAATATCTGTCATTTTAATCTGTTATTTATCCTAACTGTGGGTATTCCCCAAAGCTTAGTCCTTGGTTCTCAGTTCTCTCAATATAATCTTTATCTTATCAAGTTCCATAAAATCTCAGTTATCAACCAGCAGCCCTAAGCAAATGATTTTTAGTTTTTACATTAATATCATCAAACCCCACCTCTCTCTCAAACCAGCTTTCTATATTTTTGACTGTCAGCATTAGGGCTTAACCTTATTATTTTGGTCCACGCACCCTTTCAGAATCTAATGAAAGAAAGCTATGAAGCTTTCTAACAGGCAACCACACATTCACACAAAATGTTACATATAATTTCAGAAGGTTCACAGAACTCCTGAAGTTTATACATGGCTAAAAATCTCTGGTGTATAATTCCATTTGAGTATCTGTGAAAACCTTAAATTCCCTACTGCCAAATGATATCCTTAAGAACATTAGTAAAACATGCACATAATAGCATTTATTATGTGCCAAGCACTATTGTAAGCACTATATTTCTATTAACTCATTAATAAAACAAAAAACCCCACTCTAGTGTCCTATTCATTAATGCCCCGGTTCTCTAAGAAACCAGGAGAGTGATGGGGGGAGATTCAGGGGCAGATATATACAGGCATACTTTGTTTAATTGCACTTTGCACATATTGTGTTTTTTACGAATTGAAGGTTTGTGGCGACTCAATGTTCAGCACCATATTTTTCCAATAGCATTTGCTCACTTCACGTCTCTGTATCACATTTTGGTAATTCTCGCAATATTTCAAACTTCTTCATTATTATTATATTTGCTGTTGTGATCTATGATCAGTGAGTGATCTTTAATGTTTCTGCTATGACTCAGTGAAGGCTCAGGTGTTGGTTAGCATTTTCAGCAATAAAGTATTTTTAAGTTAAGGTATGTACATTGTTTTTTAGACATATGCTACTGCACACTTAATAGACTACAATATAGTGTAAACATAACTTTTCTATACACTGGGAAACCAGAAAATTCCTGTGACTCACTTTATTGTGACATTGGCTTTACTGTGGTGGTCTGGAACAGAACCCGCAGTGTGCTGGTGTGGAAAAAGGAGGCATTCAGGGCAGCAGGTAGGTCTTTCCCTGGCCTACCCCGAGCTGGGAACAGAAATCTTAATGTATTCTGAGAGCAGAGCCTCTCCCCTTCGAGACAAGAGTTGCTCCAATGTGCTTCTTACCGATTTACCACTGGATTACTAAATATGACGCAAGAATAGCACTCAACCTTCCTTTTTTTTTTTTTTAAGTTTCTAAAACCTTTGATTTCAGCTTAAATATGGAAACAGCCAGGGCACGGAGGGGGGCCCACCCAGGAATCCTGCGGCAGGACCCCCTCAACAGCACACAGCTCAGGGACCCAGGCCACAGCACTGATCACCCTACCTGGGAACAGGGAGGAGAGCTGGGGGCCCTGCAGCCAGTTCTGGATGGGAGTTAGGGTGTGGGCAGGGAGAAGCTGGGACAGAGAGACCCCCAAGACTGCCAGCAGGAGGCGGGAGACCCAGCAGAGCCCCAATCAAGGGTCTGCCAGGAAGTTAAGTGCTCATAATAAATCCATCTTCCAAGGCTAGTAATACAAGTAATTGCTAGTAATATTACACCTAGTAATACAAGGCTTGGTGAACATTAACAAAACTCAAGAATGTAGTCCAAATATACCTTTTTAACAAGTTCTCTCATGGCCAGAAGTTTTCCAGTCTCAGACCCAACGAAGAGAAGCTCTTGTTCTACGGTCTCTACTGCAGAATTCCTAAGAAGAAAACATCCCTTGTAGTTTGCAAGAGCCAATTTTTGTTTCCCCCCTTGAATTCTAAATAAATGAAAAAATTTACACACAACTCCAACAGAATGACCTTTTCCACTGTCAATATAAGTATTGAATTATTTATATTTTAACTTAAAGACAAAGTTGTTATTTTTAAATGTTTTATTCATTCTTTTTTAAAATTTTTTAATCCAAGTATAGTTGATTTACAATGTTATATTAGTTTCAGGTGTATGGCAAAGTGATTCAGTTATGTGTGTATATATATGTGTGTGTGTGTATATATATATTATTTTTCAGATTCTTTTCCATTATAGTTTATTACAAGATACTGAATATAGTTCCATGTGCTATACAGTAGGACCTTGTTTATCTATTTTATATACAGTAGTTTGTATCTGCTAATCCCAAACTCCTAATTTATCCCCACCTCTGCCTTTCCCCTTTGGTAACTGTAACTTTGTTTTCTATGTCTGTAAGCCTGTTTCTGCATTGTAAATAAGTTCATTTGTATCATTTTTTAGATTCCACATACAAGTGATATCATATGATATTTGTCTTTCTCTGACTTACTTCACTTAGTATGATAATCTCTGGGCCCATCCATGTTGCTGTATGGCATGATTTCATTCTTTTTTATGACTGAATAATATTCCTCTGTGTGTGTGTGTGTAAGTGTGTGTGTGTGTGTACACCACATCTTCTTTACCCATCATCTCTCAATGGACATTTAGGTTGCTTCCATGTCTTGGCTATTGTAAATAGTGCTGCTATGAACACTGGGGTGCATGTATCTTTTCGAATAATAGTTTTCTCAGGATATATGCCCAGGAGTTGAGATTGCTGGATCATATGGTAACTCTATTTTTAGTTTTTTAAGGAACCTCCATACTATTTTCCATAGTGGCTGCACCAATTTACATTCCCACCAACAATGTAAGAGGGTTCCCTTTCTCCACACCCTCTCCAGCATTTATTCTTTTTTCTTTTTTTAATTTTTACTGGAGTATAGTTGATTTACAATGTTGTGTTAGTTTCTCTAGCATTTATTCTTTGTAGACTTTTTGATGATGGCCATTCTGACTGGTGTGAGGTGATACCTCATTGTACTTTTGATTTGCATTTCTCTAATAATTAGTGACGTTGAGCATCTTTTCATGTGCCTACTGGCCATCTGGATGTCTTTGGAGAAATGTCTATTTAGGTCTTTGAATGTTTTGTTATGATTATAAAAATGTTATCTCAAGAAAATTTAAAAAAATAAAGACATAAACAATAAAATAAATTACCCACAATTCTACCATTTTAGAATAAACTTTGACATTTTGCTGTGTTCTAGTCATAAATTTTCATGTGTCTAATTACTTACAGAATCTTTCTAAAAGTAAAATTATTGGGTAAAATGAGAACATTTTAAAGGGGGTTGTTACATATGCCTAAATTTTTTTCTTAATGGTTAGCAAAGGTTTATTTATTGACAAACAGTTGGGGTGAGGTATCTTTAGGCTTTATTAACACTCTATACCATGTATAAATACTTTTTCCATTCTGTTATCTGCCTTTATAATTATGTTTATGGTTAATCTGTTCTATTTTTCTTTTTATACACAGGAGTTTTATGTTGAAAGTAGACAGGATATTCTTTACTGTTTCATTTGGCTTCTGTTTTACTTAACATGTTACTACAGGCACCTTTTCATATAGCTACAATCTTCACTCCGACCATTTCATGCGTTGCATTATAGTGTATCAAGTGGCAATATCATAATTTCATAAGACTTTTCTCTATCATTTAGCATAAATGCTCCCCAAAATATTTTTAAAAAGCAATTATAAATCAAGTGGCTCAGTAACATCAGCTTCCTTCTCTGTGGCCCTACTTTGTTAAGCCATCAACGAGATTAAATCCTTTGGGTGGCCACAGAGCTCATGTCATACTTTGTGGATTGGAAAAACCAACTAAACGCATGAGGATAGGAATATTAATATGACAATATGAGAATCTCCCTTTGGATTATTCTAAAATAGAAAATGCTTAATCAATCTTGACTTTAAAGAATATATTTCTTTCAGTCAAACTCTTTTTATCAATCTTAACCCACACAACCTATCTCTTTTAGTCTAAAATAATGACTTGTGTTTTTTTAAAAAATGAGTGGGATAATGTGGAAGAACAATTACCTTGCTCCAATGGAAACAGTAATGATATTATCCAAGTTGAGTCTGCACCACTGCTCAACATCATAGGCAAAAGTTGCACTGAACATAGCTCTTTTGACCTTGTGGGATGTGCAGGCCAAGAAAATGGAAGCCAGCTGGTCTCTGAACCCAGTTTTGCCATCTTCAAACAGTTTATCTGATTCATCTACTACCAGCCATTCAACACTAAGAAATAACAAAAAAAAAACTTGTGGGTATTGAACTGAAAGATCCAAGATGCTTCACTACCTGTGGGAACAAATGAAGAAGTCCAACCACAATGATGCTTCTCAGATCTACATATCATACCAGAAAAAGTATAAGAAAAATAAGCAAGAAAAAGGTAAAAACAAAATAAATATAAATTAATGTACCTATTCCATTAGCCCCAAAGATATGAGGTTCCACTGGCAATGACAGAAGCTCAGATAAACCTTATGAACGCCATCACCATTGCTGAAAGATGTGAAAATTTCTAGGCGAATTCTGTACTAACTGCTTATCGGAATCTGTTAACTTTCTTCCAGACCAGGATAGTTACTTTTCTATGAGTTTAATGAAAACCATTTTTCTCAGCATCAAGATAGCAAGCTCCAAAGAGCAATAATACAAGTAACTGAGGACAAAATATAATCAATTTAATGAAAAACACACATAAAAGACATTATTAAAGTAATTTACCTTGTTAAGTCTATTCCCGGAGGATCTTGCTTTAATAAATAGATTAGTCGATTTGGAGTAGTCACAAGAATATCTGTAAGGAAAAATAAATGGTACAAATTGCAAAAACAACATTCATCCCTCTTGAATTAGGGGATTAAGTCTCCTGAATTTCTGTTAATAACCTCAGGTGGGGAGAAGTGGTTATATGCACTATACCACCAACAACACAATAAGCTAATATACATATTTTTTAAATCCATCATAGCACAAACTACTATATCCTTACTCTCCTTTTATCTGATCTGCTTTCTCAGCTTCTAAGAGGCAAGAATACTATAATCCACCAATTTGCTTAACAAACATTTGTTTGTTTTTCAGGAAAATACTTTCCTTAAATGCAACTTTACTCAGAAGCTCAAGATAAAAGACAAGTAAAACAGATTCTCTGGCTGATCTAAGAGTAGGGATGTAAATCAATCTTATCTGCAGAATATTTCCATGGCAGATTAACAATCAATAGAATAAGCAGGGATTCTCAACCTCAGCACTACTGGCATTTTGGTTCAGACAGCTCCTTGTTGTAGGAGGCTGACCTGTGTGTTGTAGGATGTTTAACAGCATCCCTGGCTTCTGTCCCTATACTAGTAGCACCTCTCCCCAGTTGTGATGACTTAAAATGTCTCCAGATATTGCCAAGTATCCCTGGGATAGAGGGTGAGGTGGGGGTGAAGGGCAGAATCACCTCTGGTTGAGAACCACTGGTATATATTTATATATCTACTGGGTGGGGGTGAGGAGGAGATCTCTTTCAGCTTTTCTAAAAATCCAACTAACTACACTTGAAGAACTTCTAGGTAGCAATTAGGATACTTGTAATTTCTAACTCCCTTACATCTCAAGCACGAAGCCCCTTACCAAACTTCTTAGATGATTTAGGTCCAAATTTCTTGGCTGCAACTGCTGCTTTGTGGATCATGTGTATCCTGAATCCTGTTCCCTCAGATATTTTTACTAACTCTCGGTGAATCTGAAACAGAAAATGATAAAAACATTAGCTGCTAAAATACTTGGATAAGATGTATAGTCTCTTTTTCATTATTAACAAAATAAATCTAGTATCAACTCATGAATACTTGAAATTAAGCCCATAATAATCTGTAGATTAACCTGGAATCTCAGCATTTTGGAACGTCAATACTAAGTAAGATTCAGTAGTTTCTTCTGGTCTAGTAAACTAGTTCCAAGAGATAAAACCAAAACTCTTCCATTCTGTTACATATTGTTTGTAGAATACAGTACTGTTACAAAACTATTTCATACTTAGCATGTATTTTATATTAAGCACATTGGGAGGGTAGAGTGGATCATTGTATAGTTTTACTTTCTCAAAAACTGAGATGAGGTTTCATTTTTCTAGGTGAGGAAAAAAAGTTTTAGAGGGGAACTATATATGATAGTAGCCTTCCAACTTCAAGGATCTTAGAGCATATACCAAAGTATAAATGTTAAGAACAACATATTTTATAAAACTGAAAAGACTTAAAAGACTGGCCCACATGCAGTAAGACACAGAGAAGTGTGCTTTGAACAGAATATGTGACCATGAGAAAGACACGGGCCTTACTCTTTTGGACCTTTCTATTACCCTCAAATAAGAAAGATGACTGACAAACACAAACACAACCTCTTCAGAAAGTACCAGTCATACCTGGCTGGCAAGTTCTCGTGTTGGTGATATAATCAGGGCTCTGAAGCCTTTGTTTGTGGGTTGTTTCAGGTGCATTAAAATAGGAATGCTAAAAGCCAAAGTCTTTCCAGATCCAGTAGGAGCAGAAGCCAGAAGTTCTCGACCCTAAAAAGAGTATATTAAGTAAGAGTACATACATTTTTCAGAGCCCAGTCAAATAATGCTACCAGCCATAAAAATAACAAAATTATACATAATAAATCCAAACACTCACATTTCCATCACTCTTCTAACTTCTCCGATATTTGCCTTTCTACCCACCCCTGCTACAACCGCCCCAATAGAGTTTCTGAGCATTATTACTAAAGTTCATTTGAACTGGGTAAAGAAAGTAGATAACTAAAACCCAAAGATGATTCACAACCTTATTTCCATTATTTCAATTTTTCTTTCCCCTAAACCTCTTTATCAAAGCAAAATTACAAAACCAACTTTTTGACCTGATATCTGCATTGCTCCATCCTTAAAGAAGGTTTTAATAAATAACAGAATGGCTAAAAGTAAGAAATAAAAAGTGTTGAGGGCCTCCCTGGTGGTGCAGTGGTTGAGAGTCCGCCTGCGGATGCAGGGGACATGGGTTCGTGCCCCGGTCCGGGAAGATCCTACATGCCGCGGAGCGGCTGGGCCTGTGAGCCATGGCCGCTGAGCCTGTGCATCCGGAGCCTGTGATTTTTTTTTTTTTGTCACTGTGATTTTTAAAGCTTTAAGTTAAGGTCACTACAGAAACAACCTTAAATGAAAACTAAAAGCAAATTTACTATAATGTCAGTCAACAACATCATTCAAATATATTCTTATTTCAGTTCCCAAAGAAAATGAAAAGGGTTAGTATGGATGAGGAGAGAGGGAACTCATATCCTTTGGCTACTAGAACTGAAGGCCATCTTGGTTATGTTGGGGAAAAAAGTCAGCTCTCACCACTACAAAAAGAAACCTCAGAAAAACTTAATTTCCAAAAGTCTAAGTTAACTCATACCTCTATCAACAACACATAAACAAATTATGGTATATTCATACAACAGAATACTACTCAGTAACAAACTACTGATATATGCAACATGGAGGAATCTCAAAAACTGTATTAGAGTGAAAGAAACCAAAAAGAGTAAATAATGAATGATTCCACTTACATGATTCTATAAGAGGAAAAACTAAAACATGGCAATAGAAACCAGAAAAGTGCTTACCTCTGGGCGGGGGTCAGGTGAGGACTGAATGGAAGGGGTATGAGAGAACTGGCTGGAGTGACAGAAATGCTACACATCTTCACTGAGTTGATGGTTACATAGGGTATGCACTGTTGAAACTCAATGAACTGTGCACTTAAAATCTATGCATTTTTTTGGTACTTAAATAGACTTCAATAATAAAAAGTACTGGGATAAAAACAAAGTCAGGTTATGTACAAGAATTCTGTATTTCTGAAATAGTTCTTGAATATTACAAACTAAATCATGGATGAAAAAACAGAACATAGTCCCTATCCTCAGAAGATTAACACTCTTAGTTAAATGGAAGAGATGAATATAATTAATGCAAATCCATAGTAAAGTGTAAGACAAATGTTGCAAGAAAAAGAAAACACATGGAGAACTGGGTGGTAGGGGAAACGGTGCTGGTGAAGGAAAAAGATCACATCTAGCAGTAGTGATCAAGACAAATCTTACGGAGGCACAGGTATTAGAGACGGACCTTGAAATCAAGGGTAGGATTTCAACAAGGGGAGATAAGGCAGAAAGGAACATTTCAAAGACAGAGGAAAGAGAATGAACACACACACACATACACATGCACGCATACTCACTTACAGGCCTTCATACTCACATGCAGCATAACTGGAATGGCTTGCATTTGGATTGGCGTAGGTATCTGGAAGCCTGCATCTAGAATGTTCTGAAGCAGTCGAGAATTGATTTTAAATTCCTGGTCAAGTTGCTGAAATGTAGCAATTGGGTCAGGAAGATCAGTTCCTTGGACATGAATTTTATGTTTATTCCGGAAGAAGTTTATCTGAAAAGTGAAATAAAGGAGTCGCCATGAATGTGGTCAAATACCGTGTCAGATGTTGTAAAGCAACAGTAACGGTTTCTGGGATAAGCTTTAGTAACATATGAAACTTTCTGGTTAAATTCCAATCCCTACAAGATACAGATATTAGGTATAATTCGTGCCCTTTCATAGAAGGAAGACCTTCATAACAATGAAACCTATCTATCCACACTTTCCTCATATTAATGTCAATGCCATGAATAATGTGTTATTCACATTAATGTGCTACTGTCACAGTCACAATCTTATATAAACTTCTAGAAGGCAGGCACTGAATCAATCTATTGTCTTTATGTGGCACTTAGCAGACAAGTGCCAATGCTTTTTAATGATTACCCTAAACTCTACTTATTAAGACTGAGTGCCAAAAGCAGAATCAGGTGATGCTGAGTTTTGTTGTTTTCCCATTCTCTGACCCAGACAGATTCGGGATTACTAACTGAGCCGAACAATACTCTCCATCTGCAATACAGCAGGAGAGCAGCAAACACGACAACGGCATATTTGTTGTTTCTTCTGAATTCTACTCCTCCTAGTCCCAAGTCATAAAATAGGTTTCTTAAGAATTCTAACTCTCAAATCCCTGTCGGAGGAAATCCTTCTAAACCAGTGTGAGCTTAACATAAAGGAGTAAGGGGGCCAATTTCATGTTTATCAAAAGGGAATAAGAAATTTTAAAAATTTAATTCTAAACACATCATCAATTTGGACCTAAGTTTCAAAATTTCAAGATACTTTCAAGAATTTTAAACTTTAAAAATTTCAGCCACAGCACAAACACTACTTTGCTTTAAGTTTCCATCAAAGTAAAATCTAATCTAATGTAAGTAATCTTCTAAACAAAACCATACTCGCTTTTACCACCAGAATAACTCAAGGATAGCGAAAAAGTTATTAGGCCAGAAAAACAATTGGATGAAGCCATTTTTCTAACCTTTTCTTTTCTGAGCTGCTCCAACTTTCCTGAAGTTAGTTTATTTTCTCTTTTAACTTTTTTATCTTCAATCTTTGCTTCCACAGATGATATCCACTGTATAGTAGAAACTTCTTGAGACGTAATTTCTAAAATATATTTTTAAAAAATTAAAAGATTTTAAGTGCAACATTCTTAGGTGGCACAAACAGACCATACCTTACCTTCACACTAAACAAAAGAAAAAGTACTAGTGGTTGCAACTAGATGAAAGAAAGTAATAGAAGGTATAAAAATTGGGAAAGGAGGGCTTCCCTGGTGGCACAGTGGTTGAGAGTCTGCCTGCCAATGCAGGGGACACGGGTTCGTGCCCCGGTCCGGGAAGATCCCACGTGCTGCGGAGCAACTAAGCCCATGCACCACAACTACTGAGCCTGTGCTCTAGAGCCCGTGAGCCACAGCTACTGAGCCTGAGTGCCACAACTACTGAAGCCCGCGCGCCTAGAGCCTGTGCTCTGCAACAAGAGGAGCCACCCAATGAGAAGCCCATGAACTGCAACGAAGAGTAGCCCCTGCTTGCCGCAACTAGAGAAAAGCCCGCGCGCAGCAACAAAGACCCAAGGCAGCCAAAAATAAAAATTAATTAATTAAAAAAAAAAATTGGGAAAGGAGAAGCAAGTTGTGTGTTGGTAAAATCAGAGCTCTGAAGCTCACTCTTTCCTTTTTCTCCTTTTTAGTTATTTCAGCTTTGTAATATGTACCTAACTGTACACTTGAAAACAATGAGGGATTAATTCAAAAACTATTTAAACAATAAGAGATGTCAATGAGGCAGCCAGCTTTTCTATATCCACAACCAGCTAGAAAATAAATACGATGCAAGAAAAGATTTCACTTATAATACCAATAAACACAACACAATACTTAAGGACTACTCAATATTATAAAGAGAGCAATTCTCACTAAATCTGTAAATAACACTACCTCAGTGAAAAGTAATGATAGGATTGTTTTGGTAACTGGAGTAGCTGACTTTAAAGTTTATATGGGAAAATAAATATGTACGAATACCTAAAAAATTCTAAGAAGAGTAATGAGCAAAGACTACTTCTGGAATTTCTTTTAAATTTTTTCAACTTCACCGATGTACAACCAACACAATAAACTGCATATATTTAAAGTATACAACTTGAGGCATTTTGACATTATGTATGCACCTGTTAAACCATCACCACATTTAAGACTATTTCCATCACTTCCCAAAATTTCCTTGTGGCCCCTTACAATGCATCAGTCCATCCCTAGGTAACAACCTGTATTCTTTCTTTCTTTCTTTCTTTCTTGTTTTGGCTGTGCCGCACAGCATGCGCAATCTTAGTTCCCTGACCAGGGACTGAACCTGTGCTCCCTGCAGTGGAAGAGCAGAGTCTTAACCACTGGACCACCAGGGAAGTCCCCTGTTTTCTGTCACTGTTGATTAATTAGCTTTTTTTTTTCCTGGAATTTTATATAAATGGAATCATATAGTATTTAATAAATTTAGTCTGGTTTCTTTCGCTCAGGACAGTTATTTTGAGATTCATCCATGTTGGAGCATGTATCAATAATTTTAACTTTTTATTTACAAGTAGTACTCCATTGTATGGATATACAATTTGTCTATCCTCCGCTTGCTGAAGGACATTTGGGTCATTTCCAGTTTTTGGCTGTTACATATAAAGCCACTATGAACACCTGTGTACAAGTCTTTGTGAGGACACACATTTTCCTTCCTCTTGGGTAAGTTCTAGGAGTGGAATAGGTGGGTCACATAATAACTGCATGTTTATTTTTTTAAAACTCCTTTTCAATTTCTACCAGAAAAGTCTACTAGAGTTTTAACTGGGTTTGCACTGACTCTAGAGATCACTTTAGGGAGAAAATATCCAGTTGCCCAATCAATAAAAAGAGTATGCCATACCACTCTACTGGAATTTATAAAGTAAGGCCACATTAATTAACACAAGCTGGTACTGGTGTAGGAATACAGAATTAGAAATCAATGAAATAGAATAGAGTCGAAAGACCCAAATATATATGGGAAATAAGTTACAATAAAAGTTGTATTTAAATGCAACAGGGAGAAGATGTAATATCAATGTATTAGGACACTTAGCTAGCCATCTGGAAAAAAATTAATTAGTTCCTCATTCATTCCTTATACCAAATAAAATCCCAGAGGGTCAAAGATTTCAATATAACAAAATGAAACTACAAATAAGAAAACATGGGAGAATTTTTGAAAAATAAGCTTAATGCTTAGAATGTAAAAACAAACCCAAAAAACCATAAAGGAAAAGATAAATTTAACGCATAAAATGGCAACAAATAAATAAATAAAGACGATAAGTGACAAACTAGAAAACATATCTGTATACATAGTATGCTAGAATAGAGCTAACTTCCTTAATATATATAAGGCCTAACAAATTAAGAAGAAACAGATGAACAATGTTAACAGTAAAACGGTGCAACAGTACGTGAGGAGGCAAATTAATATAAAAAGGAAACTCTCGTACATGGCTGGTGGGCATCACCAATTGGAATGACTTCTTTTTTTGGAAAGACTTTTTAAAAAAATAAAATTTTGCTCCCTTTTATGAGACAGTTGGCATTAATAGACCTGAATCATTATTCATCCACAAGATCTTGAATTTTCCAATTAAAACTATATATATGTCTATCCACACTTGTTGTTAAATGGTTATAGGACATATCTGTGTGTTTCTGGCTGCCCAGGAAAACAGGGCAACCTAAGCTTGTGTCAGGTCTTTTTTCAATTCATCTCGGTGGAAGGCTTTATTAAACTTCCTTGTAGCCAGGAAAGTAACATGACTTGTTAACTATGAAATTCCACTTCTAAGAATTTATCAGACAGATATACCCGCACATACACACAAAGTAAAACATTTATTGCAACGCTGTAACAGTAAAAGTGAGGAAACGAACTAAAAGCCCATCACATAGGAACTTGTTAAATCACTTATGGAATGGACAATGGGATACTATGCTATGTTAAAATGAACAAGGCAATGTACTTCCTACTCATTCCAAACAATCTCCAAGATATATTGTTTTTTGTAAAAGGAGTAGGGGTAGGGAAGGTTCAGAACAGAACAGCATACAGAGTACACTATCATTCACGTTTTTTAAGCGAGGTATAAATACATGTGAATAGAATATCTCTAGGAAAATACCTAAGAAATTGATTAACAGTGGTTGCCTCTGGAGAAATAGGGGACTAGAGACAAAACAGTGGAAAGAAAATTTACTTTTCACCATTGTATAACTTTTTAAAACCATGTGTAAGTATTTAGTTTATTAAAAAGGTAAAATGGGGCTTCCCTGGTGGCGCAGTGGTTGAGAGTCCGCCTGCCGAAGCAGGGGACGCGGGTTCGTGCCCCAGTCTGGTCTGGGAAGATCCCACGTGCCGCGGAGCGGCTGGGCCCGTAAGCCATGGCCGCTGAGCCATGGCCGCTGAGCCTGCGCGTCCGGAGCCTGTGCTCCGCAAAGGGAGAGGCCACAACAGTGAGAGGCCCGCGTACCGCAAAAAAAATAATAAAAAATAATAAAAAAGGGTAAAATGGCTAGGAAACTTAATAGATGTAACAGACAAAGAAAAAAGGTAAATACTCCTATTTTTGAGTACAGAAAAAAACCTTGTGAAAAACAGGCAAGGTGTAAAAACAAACAAGTCACAAAACTTGAAATGTAAATATCCAACAAAGCCTATGAAAAGATGTTCAACCTCACCAGTTATCAAGAAAATACAGGGGCTTCCCTGGTGGCACAGTGGTTAAGAATCCGCCTGCCAATGCAGGGGACACAGGTTTGAGCCCTGGTCTGGGAAGATCCCACATGCTGTGGAGCAACTAAGCCCATGCACCACAACTACTGAGCCTGCGAGCCACAACTACTGAGGCCGGCGAGCCTAGAGCCCGTGCTCTGCAACAAGAGAAGTTACCCAATGAGTAGCTTACGCACCGCAATGAAGAGTAGCCCCTGCTCGCCGCAACTAGAGAAAGCCTGCGCTCAGCAACAAAGATTCAATGCAGCCAAAAATAAATAAATTAAAAAAAATACAAATTAAAAAATAGTTTCACTCATGAGATTGGCTAAAATGTTAAGACCAACAGTATCCAGCATTGACATGGCTGTGGGAAGTCATTTTGTATCTGTTCAAAGAAAGAAGTGTGCATATCCTTTCACATAGTGAATTCACATTTAGGATGCTAATTACAGAAATACAGCACCTGTACAAAAAGATATATGTACAGGTATCTTATTGTAGCAATATTCATAATCACAAATACCTGGAAACAACCTGAATGCCATCAACTGACAAATAGCTGTATACTGTCTGAGGTGTAATCATAAGCTTGCATAATTTCTGTAATTGAAAAAAGAAAAAAGAAAAGAAAACACATCAAGCACTAACCTGAAGTCATCTTCTTCCTCTTTTTCTTGTTCTGCTCCCTCTTCCTTTCAGTTAGGCTCTCTTCATTTTTCTCTTCATCTTGTAGTTCCTGATGAGTTCTTGATGATTCACTCTCACCTGGGACAGACTTCTTGTTTCCAAAAAAGTCCAGTCCCTGTAGCACCTCCGAAGAATCAAAGTCATATTTCCTTTTTCCTATCTAAAACCCAGAAAATTTCAAATGAAATCTATAGACAGACTGGCACTGTTTTCACCCTAGCAGTGTTGGCAGTAAGGGTGTGGGTACAATGACTCCCCATCTTTTTTATCTTTCACCAACTATTTGTTTGAGCTGACAAGTGTGTGTTTGGGCAAATGGAATCCAAGATGATACCTTTTCTGACCTTATAAAAGTAATAATAATAGTCATAATAGCAACTAACACTTATAAGCATAACACATGCTGTCAGGCAGATTTCTAAGCATGTTTAGATATATTAAATTCCTTCTTCCTTCAACAACCCTAACGAGGTAAATAGCAATATTACAGATCAGAAAATCGAGGCATTAAGAGGTTAAGTAACTTGACCAAGGTCTCAAAACTAGTAACTGGCCGACCCAGGATTTTACCTAAATAATCTGGTTCCAGAGTTCAAACTCTTAACAACTACGCTATGCCGTCAGACAGAGAAAGAAGAAACACACGTGTTGCACACACACACACATGTCCCTAGTCCCAATACCAAGAAATCTTGATATTCAAGATTTTCCACAATTGGGCCCTAACTACTCCCGATTTATCACTCACTAATTCCCTATGTAAGATCTCCCATTTCTAAATCGCTCTTCTCATTGGTTACTTAACACGCCATGGAGTTGCGGGAATAAAAAAAAAAAACATGCCCACTAAAGGCATACGCATGCCAAGACAAACCTGGAGAGACTACAGTGAAATCATCTGTTCTCTCCGTTTGGGATTTTTCAAATTCTTTTCCATCAGTTTCGGAAAAAAGATAACTTCTGAAAGTAGGATTCTAACTGTGCTTTGAATAAACTCAGAAAGGAGGCCAGGAGGAAACGTTTCCTTGCTAGACCCAACAAAGTCTACAGAATGATGGGAAAAAGAGTTCATTCAGAAGGCTGCAGTAAGCTGAACGCCAAGGGAGGGAAAATGCCCCACAGCCAGGCCACGGGGTCTCCGAGTGCCGGCTCCCCCAGCAGCCAGTTCCTTCTCCGGCACCTGCCCCTTCTCAGTTACTCAGGCTTCTGACACCTTGCACACAGTACCTTGAATCGGGCAGCGTCCGCCGAGAAGCGTCTCACGTCGAATTTGGCCCCCGCGCCGAGCCGGCGAAACAGATCGTGAGCATCCATCTTTTCCCAGAAAGCTCCGCGGTCCCACAGCGCCTGCGCAGAGGACTCCCCTCCCGGAAGGCTAGACCTTGGGCGGAAGTGGCTCCGGGGGGCGGAGCTTGGCCGCAGGGAGAGTCTGGGAGTTTTTATCGTATTACAGTGCGTCGTTTTTTATTTGTTCTTTAAAAAAGTATTTATCAAGATCCTCTTAAGCCGGGCACTGTTCTACACTTTTAGGGATAGTTTGGTAAACAACACCCCAGGAATCTCACCTCGGGAAACATATTTTAGTGGGGATGGAAGATGTTAACAAATAAATAAGCAGAATAATTCCTGAAAAAGTGCTATGAAACAAGGGAGAGGAGCCACTTTTAGGTAGGTTAGTTAGGTTCATTCTGATGAAGTGATATTTGATCTAAGAGGAGGCAGCGTTTCCCAGATATGGGAAACAGCATTCCAGACACAGGAAACATCGTCTGAAGATGGAAAAAGTTTTGGAACATTGAGAAAATAGAAAGAAGGAAGGCCAGGGTGACTGGAGCCAAGTTGCAGTGAGGGAGTGGTACAGATAGGGTTGAAGCGACAAGTGAAAATCAGATCTCATAGACTTTTTTTTTTGCGGTACGCGGGCCTCTCACTGTTGTGGCCTCTCCCGTTGTGGAGCACAGGCTCCGGACGCGCAGGCTCAGCGGCCATGGCTCACGGGCCCAGCCGCTCCGCGGCATGTGGGATCCTCCCAGACCGGGGCACGAACCCGTGTCCCCAGCATCGGCAGGCAGACTCTCAACCACTGCGCCACCAGGGAAGCCCTCATAGAATTTTATAACAGGGTCATGGTAAGGAATTTGGATTTTAATCTAAGCATGCTAGGAAGCTCTTCAAATTTTTTTTTACTGAGAGTGCAACATGGCTTAGTTTATTACATTTTGTATTTATTTTCATTGTATTTGTACTGTACAAAATTATTTACTTATGAGTTGCCTCCCCCTTCTAAAATGAAGTCTAGGAGCACAGAGATCTAATTTGCTTCACTGCTGTATCCCCAGTTCCTGTGTGCTCTCAATAAATATTTGATGAATGAATGAGTGAATGCTTTGTAAAAGATTACTCTGGCTATTTGGAGGATGGGCCATAGAAAGGGTAAGAGTGGAAACAGTTCAGTCAAAGTAGAAATGATGATGGTGGCTGGGATTAGGGTGGTATCTGTGCTGATGGAGTTAAATGGATAGATTTGGGGTATATTTTGGAGGTAGGTCTAAATTCACCTGATGAATTTCATGTGGAGGTGAAGGAAAGGGAGGAAATACTCCTAGGTTTTTTGTTTGAAATCCAGGGTAGGTGGCATGCCATTTACTGAGCTAGGAAAAACTGAAAGGAGAACAGCTTTTTTGTGTGTGAGGTTGAGGCATGGGGGGTGGAATCAGTTTTTATGTTTTGGGCATGTTAAGTTGCCTCGTTGACCTTAAGTGGAGATGTCCAGGTGGGTAGTTGATTCCATGAATCTGAAGCTCAGGGGAAAAGGTCAGGGCTAGAAAAATAATTTAGGAGTCATCAACATATAAATGGTACAATGGAATCACACCAAACAAGCATTTAACTTATTAAAATTGAGTTATACATATTCAGCCAGAGAGTGTGAGAAATACTTTAAATTGTGTGATTCCTTTACACTCAAGTAAAGTAAGTGTGGAGTGAGGATGAGATGAGAGATGTGAGTCTGCTGTACCCTCAGATGGCGTCAGTCCCCAATTCTCTCATTGTGGGAGCAGCTTGCTGTTCCAATTGTGTCTGCTCTTTAAAAATAAGTATTTTTCATGAAATGTGGCTCCTGAATGAAAGCCCCAAGTACTTTTTCATCTATTGCTCAATAAAAACAATTTATCTCAACATGGCAAGGGAAAAAAAATCAACTGAGTTTTTTAGGAAATGGAGTGTTGGTCTTCAGTTTGGCACATAAGTATGGCCACAATCATGTGTAAAATCAACATGTATGAAACCACAACTTCTGTAATTTATAAGTGATTTAAATAGTTTCCAAGAGTAATTACACTTCATGAGTTTTTTTTTTTTTTTTCTTTATGAGCCGACTTTAGAACCCAATCCCTATGTAAGTGGTGACAAACCCATATCTAAAAGCACGGTCATAAATGTGATCACTTAGAGACATTGTGTGACTAGGGAAGAGAAGGGGACCCAGAACTGACCTTTAGAGCACACCAGCATTTAGAGATTGGGTAGAGGAGGATATAACTATAAAACAAAAGTTTGAGAAGCAATTAGTGAGGTAGGAAGACGAGGAATGTGGTGTCCTGGCAGCCAGAGGAAGGTTTTAAAAAGAAGGTAGTGATCAGATGTTTCAAAGGCTGTTGAGAGACTGAGCACGAAGAAAAAAGATCACTGAATTTGGCAACATGGAGGTCACTAGTGACGTAATATCAGTTTCAGTGGCATGGTGGCTGGAGATGATTGAGCGCTAGAGGTGGAGAAAGGGAGACTGTGATGAAGCCAACTCTTTTTTTTTTAATAAATTTATTTATTTTTGGCGGTGTTGGGTCTTTGTTGCTGCACGCTCTTTGTTGCGGTGCACATGCTTCTCAATGCAGTGGCTTCTCTTGTTGCAGAGCATGGGCTCTAGGTGCACTGGCTTCAGTATTTGTGGCTCGTGGGCTCTAGAGTGCAGGCTCAGTAGTTGTGGCGCACGGGCTTAGTTGCTCCACAGCATGTGGGATCTTCCGGGACCAGGGCCCAAACCTGTGTCCCCTGCATTGGCAGGCGGATTCTCAACCACTGCGCCATCAGGGAAGTCCCTGAATCCACCTCTTTCCAAAGGTTTAACTGAGAAGGAAAGCAGAGAAGTAGAGTAGTAACTAGAGGCAGATGTGGGTTCAAAGGTGAGTTTTGCTTTTTTTTGGTATAAACCTGGAGCAAGTTTTCACAAACTCCATCTTTTGGTTTGTGCCTTTTTCATATTTTATTACATTGTTTTTTTAAAAATCACAACAGCAGTATCAAAGACAACCTATGTACAAACATTTTACAAAAGAAATATTGCTAGTATCAGCTGTAATAAGGGCAAGCTGAAGAATAGATGCTGAGTTTCTGGGCCAAAGTCTGCCCTCAAAGACATCTAAAATGTGTTCAGGCAGCTGAAACAGGCTTCTTTCTGATGACAAGCATGTGTGGTCGGTAATATTAATACAAACGATGGTAAATGAGGATACTACTGGGCCCAAGTAGCGAACTCCTCATCAGGAAGGCCACCATACAAGTGGAGCTAATCCAATAACCTAAACCCAAGACAGTAAAAGCGCTGTTTCCCATCTGAACGCATTTAAGCCTTCAGCAATGATTGCGTCACGTGTAAACGATGCTGGGTTGTCATACAGACACTTGATTCTTATACATAACCCTATGCCAAACTTCCCTTAACTCTCGAGTCAGGTTTCTGGTTGGACCTAAAGGGGAGGAATTTTAGAAATGCTTCCTTCAGGACAGAAGTCAGAAAGAGAGGTGATCCTGACAACAGGATCTATTAAATTTGGTGGCGGCGGGGGGAGGCAGGAATTTGGGAGGAGGAATGACTCCTTGGGGCCAAGAATGAAGAAGCGTGACTCACTTGGGTCTGGGACCTTGCTGAAATCTGATCCCCACCCCACCCCAGCCCCGCCAGTGTCTACAAGCTCGGTTCCTTTCTCATCTCCCCCAGTTCCTTCATCTCCACCTTCTTGTACTTCCCCGACTTCCTCCGGTTGGTGATCACCAGGACGGTCACGCCGGCGACCAGGGCCACCACGACCACCACGATGACGGCGATGAGGCCGCTGGTGAGGCGCTTCATGGAGAACTGGGGGGACTTCTCATCCAGGAGGTAGATGAGCGTCCGCTCCAAAAGCAGGGGCTCTCCGCGCACGCGCACGTCGAGGCCGCGGTGGCCGGTGAACAGCGACTCGCCCTTGACGTCCCTCTCGAAGCAGTAGGTGGCGTCGGCGATGTCCACGTCGCCGGCGACCTTCTGCGACGTGTTCTGCTGCAGCTCGATCTGGATGGTGGGGTGCTCGTAGTGCACGGCCGCCACGAACTTGGGGTGCAGCGGGTCGCGCTCCCGGAAAAGCCGCCGCAGCTCGGCCTCCAGGTCCGAGGGGTTGAAGGCGCGGGCGGCCGGGCGGTGGCGCAGGTCGATGAGGATGGGGTGGGTGCGCACCAGTTCGTCGCAGCGCGGGCTCAGGTCGACCTTGTCGGTGCGGCGCATGCCCACCGAGTTCACGCACCACCACACGGACGTCTGGTTGCACTAGCGCGCCATGAAGCGGCCCTGCTGGTCGCAGTACGGGTCGTACAGGCCGTCGTTGTCCAGGAGCGCGTGCTCGCTCGGCCGTACCAGGGCGCGGACGCTCTTCCGGGCGCTCACGCGCGCCTTGAGCAGCAGGCACTTGGATGTGAGCGTGGAGCAGTCGACCTCCAGGCCCGAACCGAGCACGCGGCACAGGCAGCGGCCCCCCGGGCCGCTCCGGTCGCACACGGTCATCTTGCTGGTGGGGCACGTGCACTTGTCCTGCGCGGCCGCTTGATCGATCACCGCCGCTAGTAGTAGGAGCGGCGGCGGCAGCAGCGACGGCGAAAGCAGCGCGAGGCCCGGACCCTGGGCCATGGTGGGGCGGGGCGGAGGAGTGCGGAAGGGGCGCGGGCTGGCGAGCGCTGGGGCCTCTTCCGAGCTCGGGCTCCGCTGTCTGAGAAGGTCTCCAGGTGTCTGGGGTTTTGCTTTTTGTTTTTGATGTTTTTAAGGATGGGTGCTAGGGAATATTTGTAAATTGCAAGGAATGGTCCAGTGAAAAGATGGAAATTGTTGATGTAACAGAGAAGGGAGAAAATAATGGGATGGGCGTGAGGTGAGATTTTGTCAGGGAGTGTTGGAGGGCTGAGGAGGGAAGAAATTATATGAAATAACATCCTCAAAGAGTGGGAAAATGAACTTACTGGGAAAAAGCAATAATACCGATGGACAGTGAATGCTCATTTGAGTTGGAAACAATGAATTAAAAAAGAGACTAATCAGCGTGATTCAGCTACTTAGATAAGGGTGTGAAGAAGTTGTATTGCTGGATTTAGCCGGGGTTAAAGTATTTTCAGGTAAATATGATAGAGGATTATGGCAGAACTCCTTGTGCGCCCTCTCCCGCCTCAGAAAGGTCACCTGGGATTGATAGTTCAACGGAGATTTGACCTCCTGAAACCCAAGAAGGAAGGGGAAAATCGCTGGGAATGGCAGTCTTATTCAGAATAATACTCTGGGTTAGATTAATAATCCAACTTGCTTCCCTTCTTTCAGAGGAAAGAATTGTATGGAGTATTGAATATGTGCTCTATTTTACTTTCATAAGCATATAGTTAGAGTGAAACAAGTCTGAGTTTAAATTCCTCCCAGCCTCTCCACCTGCCAGCTGTGACCTGGTCAAATTAACCTCCTGGTCTAATTTCCTCATTTGTAAAATGAGGATTATGATACCTACAGCAGGATGGTTATCAGCGTTAAGCTGAGCTCATAGGGCAATGGTGTATAATGGAAAAAGCATGGGTTTTGGGTGTCAGAAAGACTTATGTGTGAATCCAGTTGTATTATTTAATAATTTGACCATTGTAGGCAGGTTATTTCACTGTTCTGTGCCTCAATTTCCTCACTGGTAAAATGGGGATTATAGCATTATAATATCCTATAATCCTACCTTGAAGGCTAGGAGTAACACTGGTTCCCCACACAGAGATCAAAATGGTGGGAATTGGCTTAGGATTCTATCTATCTATCTACATTTATCCATATTAGAAATATGTATTATATATATGTGTGTGTTGTTGTATAAAGCTTTTGGAACAAAATCTCAAACACAGTAGGTGCTTAATAAATATTAGTCCTTTTCTTTCTTGCAGTCCATTCTCCTAGAGCAATAGTTCTTGGCCTTAACAGCACTTTAGAATCCTCTGAGAAACATAAAAAACAAAAGAAAACTTGGTCCAACCCCCAGAAATCCTGGTTTCATTGTTCTGGAGGAGCTCTCTGGCCTGTAATTTTTGAAAGCTTCTCAAGTGAATCTAATTGCACTCAGGATTAAGAATCACTGCTAGAATTATCTTTCTAAAGCCCAAATGAGACTATGTTGCTTCTCTGCTTAAAAATTTCTCATGATTTTCCACTGTCTACTGAGTGTAGTCCGAGCTCCTGTGACTTGTACGCCAGACCCTTAGCAGTGATTCTCAACTCTCTCAGGACACATGACACACTCCCATAAATAACTTCAGCTTGAGTTCAACTGCCCCCAACCCTTTTACTTAGCAGTTGTGTGATCTTAGGCAAGTTACTTATCCTCTGTAAGCTTTAATTTTATCATCTGATTTTGCCTTTGCTTCTTCTAACTCTGAACCTTTGTACATGTTTTTTTTTCTTCTTGGAATGTCCTCTCTCTTTTTCCTCTCTGGCAAATGCCTTATATTCTTTGAAATTCAGTTTATATGACTTATGGTTACCAAAAGGGTAAGGGGGGGGCAGATAAATTGGGAATTTGGGATTAACAGATACACCGTACTATATATAAAATAGGTAAACAACAAGGACCTACTGTAGAGCACAGGGAACTATATCTGATATCTTGTAATAACTTATAATGGAAATGAATCTGAAAGAGAATATATATATGTATAACTGAATCACTTTACCGTACACCTGAAACATTGTAAATCAACTATACCTCAACAACAACAAAAAATTCAGGGGCTTCCCTGGTGGCACAGTGGTTAAGAACCCGCCTGCCAATGCAGGGGACACGGGTTTGAGCCCTGGTCTGGGAAGATCCCACATGCTGTGGGGCAGCTAAGCCTGTAAGCCACAACTACTGAGCCTGTGCTCTAGAGCCCGCGAGCCGCAACTACTGAGCCTTCATGCCACAACTACTGAAGCCCACGCGCCTAGAGCCCTGCTCTGCAACAAGAGCAGCCACTGCAATGAGAAGCCCATGCACCGCAAGGAAGAGCAGCCCCTGCACGACGCAACTAAAGAAAGCTGCATACAGCAACGAAGACCCAATGCAGTCAAAAATAAATAAATTTATTTTAAAAAATTCAGTTTATATGTTGTCTCCTCTGAAGCTTACCCTGAATGTCCCCTCCTTGACATAGTCCCTCTTCTTTCTTTGAGTTTTCATGCCGCTTTGTAAATGCCTCTATTTTAGCTCTTTTCCTGTTGCATTGTATTTTGTTTTCCACATCTGTCACATACCAGACTTTAAGCTTTTTGAGGGCTGGGCCTGTATCTCATTTATCTTCATATTATGTTGGCCTAGCATGGATACTGTTTCATACTTAAGTGGTCAATAAATCTTGTTGAATTAATGAAGTGAAATAAAATAGACAAAGATTCCTGAAACTGCCAACCGTGTGGATTTAGGAAAGGACCTATATCTTTTGCTTGGTGCTTTGTAATAAATTTTGGCTGAATGAGCGAATAAAGTCAAATGAAACTGTCAGACTGATATCATTTTCTACCTTGACAATGTCCAGCTGACTCATTAAGGGACCATTTCCTCTTGGGAAAAAAAAACAAAGCAGAACAATTAAAAACCATCGTCAATAAAAGTGGTGAGGAAATTGAATCATGGTTTTGTATAAGTGGAATTTCTCCAAAAACCAGTATGGTCTGACTGGTAGACACACATGGTTTCTCAACTGTAGCAAGTGAGAACACAAATTTTGTATAATGCTGCAGTGGGAGCTGGTTGGGATATCTTGTTGTTATGGACAGAGTGATCACTTCATGTCCTAAAAGTATGTTTTTGAAAATTTTTCTCTCCTCCACTCCCTGCTTCTCATTCAACAAACTTTGGCATTGTTTTCACAGTGTGATCGGCATGGACTTGGGCTTAGAGATGCAGAGATAGACACAGTCCTTGCTCTCAAGTAGCTTAAAGTCTGCTAAGGATAGGGACTAAAGTCTGTTAGAGTCTGTTTTCAAACAGAGCAAGAAAATTCCCTAAGCACTGTATAAGTTATAGGAGGTAAGGGAGTGTTTTCTCAGTGGTGGTAGGATGGGATGGGCTTTGTAGGAAGTTAGGAAAGTTTTATAGAGGAAATAAAGCTTGCAAACCCTTAAAAAAAGATGTTGGCAAATTAGACAAGACGGGCAAGTCTCTTTTAAATAAAGGGAACAGTAGCAACAAATGTAAGAGGGTATGAAAATGCCTGTTGTGGGACTTCCTGGTGGCGCAGTGGTTAAGAATCTGCCAGCCAATGCAGTGGACATGGCTTTGAGCCCTGGTCCTCTGGGAAGATCCCACATGCCACGGAGCAACTAAGCCCGTGTGCCACAACTACTGAGCCTGTGAGCCACAACTACTGAAGCCCGCACGCCTAGAGCCCGTGCTCCGCAACAAGAGAAGCCACTGCAATGAGAAGCCCGCGTACCGCAGCGCAGAGTAGTCCCCGCTCGCCACAACTAGAGAAAACCCACCCATAGCAACGAAGACCTAGCACAGCCAAAAAATAAAGAAAATGCCTGTTGTGTTTGGGGATCTATTAGTGGTTCAACAAAACCTGAAGTGGATGATGCAGCAAGAGGTGGAATCAGACAGGTGGGTAAGGACTAGCTCCTGTACACCTTATGGGTACGCCAAAGAGCTTGGACTTGATCTTGTAGGCATTGAGAGCCATTAAAGGATGTCAAGTTAGTGATATAAACAGCTTTTTAATTTTAAAAGATCACTCTAGCAGCAACATGGAAGGGAGGCAAGCCTGGAGTCAGGGAAAACAGAAGAATATCACGGTAGTAGTTTAGTGAGGGAAGAAGGCAGTAGCAAAAGGGAAGAGGAGAAAGGAGCAGATCTAAAGGACATTAAGGTGGTGACATTGATAGCACTCCCTTAGTGATTAGATGTAGGAAGACGGAGAGAGAGAAGCCTAAGGTAGCTCCCAGGTCTCAAACTTTGGTGACTGGGTGAGGGGGCCTCTGTTTATGGGGATGGGGAATATTGGAGGGCTAGGATAGTGTGAGAACAACATAATAAAGTTTAATTTTGAGAAGGTCTGAGTTTGAGATTTCTGTGGAACACCTGAGTGGAGTTTCTAATGGTCATTTGGAAATAGGAATTATTTCTTTGCAAAGGGAGCTAGAAACTTCTAGATCACAGCTTCAGGGTCTTAATTAAAAATAAGCTGAGGAGAGAGTGATTGGCTATAGATAATAAACACAGCAGCCATTCACACAGACAAAACTCTCACTTTCCCTGGGGCTAAGTTTTCAATATCAAATTCTCAAGCCTTACCCATAGTCTTGTACTTTAGAAATCCAAAGCAAGTACTTAAGGAATCCAGATTCTTACACTTTTTGTACATTTCTGTTTTGCCATCAAGAGTCCAATGTACAAAATGTTAAGAGTCAAAAGTATAACATGTTCTTTCCAGGCTTTAATGGAAGTTTAACGCAATATAAATGTAACCACTCAAATATGCTCGTTATCAGGACAGAATTCAAGTAAACATCGCCAGGACCAAAGCTGACCTCACGGTGGCACTCCAGTCTTGTCGGAATAAAGGGCTCTGGAATCATCTTACTAAACTCTTAAGTGGACAGTCCACTCTGAAGTAAAGAGTTGGCATAAACTCTGGGTCCATAGGCCACACAATTAAAC